TCAGAGGTCTCGACCCACCCCACTGGACCGTTTATCCATCCTGAGTCGTCGTCTGACGGCCCCGAGGGCCGGTGAGGGCCTCCAAAGGCCGAACCTTGGGAAAAAACCTCCCGTTATGCCTTGTTCCTTGCCCAATGGGGTTCTGGGTCGTGGCCCCCGCCAGGATATATCCCCCACATTTAGGCTTAGGTCGGGCATGTCCCCTTACAGGCGGATTCTGGACGAAGAACTAAAACATATCAACAACAACAACAACAACAACAACAACAACAATTACTAGCACGTGGGGACACACCGTCCTCACCAGTGCCAGGGTTTTCATAGGAGGCGGGCAATACCCCCACTTTGTGGGGGGGCCGGTTCAAGCTCTACCAAATTTCCAAACGACTCTTCGCCACCACCCACACCCAGCTTCCCGCCCTATGACGTTCGGACACTTCACTTCGTGGCATGCGGACGACCGTGGCTACTATTCAGGGCCCCGCGGCCGACGACGACGGCGTGCGCGCGCGAAGAAAAAACGAATGTGTCCCGCATGGTATTATTTGACAGGGATGATGGCCCTGGCAGGTGCGCAACCGTTGTTGCAGAAGTTCGAAAAAGTTGCTCGCAAAAGCCCGTTTGACAGAAATGTTTAAAAAGTGTTGGGTTTCCTACGAATCCGCAAGAGCGCGCGGGATGAGATTTTGACATTTTTTCCCAACCATCCTGTGGTGTTGGGTCCTCGTTTTGAAGAGACGGTGCCCGCGTCCTCTCCTCTCCTCCTCCTCCTCTTCCCCCTCCTCCCCCTCCTTGCCTCTGCTCTCGGCACACCTCTCACGCGTTTCGTAGCCCCATAGGGAGCTCCACCGAAGGCCCCAGTGGGGGTGTTCGCATGCGGTTCCCCCACCCAGGGCAGCGTTTCGTGGCCCCATAGGGAGCTCCACCGAAGGCCCCAGTGGGGGTGTTCGCATGCGGTTCCCCCACCCAGGGCAGCGTTTCGTAGCCCCATAGGGAGCTCCACCGAAGGCCCCAGTGGGGGTGTTCGCATGCGGTTCCCCCACCCAGGGCAGCGTTTCGTGGCCCCATAGGGAGCTCCACCGAAGGCCCCAGTGGGGGTGTTCGCATGCGGTTTCCCCCTCCACCCAGGGCCATGCCGTGGGCCCCATAGGGAGTGGGGGTGTTCGCATGCGGTTCCCCCACCCAGGCAGCGTTTCGTGGCCCCATAGGGAGCTCCACCGAAGGCCCCAGTGGGGGTTTCGCATGCGGTTCCCATAGGGGAGCTCCACCGAAGGCCCCAGTGGGGGTGTTCGCATGCGGTTCCCCCACCCAGGGCAGCGTTTCGTGGCCCCATAGGGAGCTCCACCGAAGGCCCCAGTGGGGGTGTTCGCATGCGGTTCCCCCACCCAGGGCAGCGTTTCGTAGCCCCATAGGGAGCTCCACCGAAGGCCCCAGTGGGGGTGTTCGCATGCGGTTCCCCCACCCAGGGCAGCGTTTCGTGGCCCCATAGGGAGCTCCACCGAAGGCCCCAGTGGGGGTGTTCGCATGCGGTTCCCCCACCCAGGGCAGCGTTTCGTAGCCCCATAGGGAGCTCCACCGAAGGCCCCAGTGGGGGTGTTCGCATGCGGTTCCCCCACCCAGGGCAGCGTTTCGTGGCCCCATAGGGAGCTCCACCGAAGGCCCCAGTGGGGGTGTTCGCATGCGGTTCCCCCACCCAGGGCAGCGTTTCGTAGCCCCATAGGGAGCTCCACCGAAGGCCCCAGTGGGGGTGTTCGCATGCGGTTCCCCCACCCAGGGCAGCGTTTCGTGGCCCCATAGGGAGCTCCACCGAAGGCCCCAGTGGGGGTGTTCGCATGCGGTTCCCCCACCCAGGGCAGCGTTTCGTGGCCCCATAGGGAGCTCCACCGAAGGCCCCAGTGGGGGTGTTCGCATGCGGTTCCCCCACCCAGGGCAGCGTTTCGTGGCCCCATAGGGAGCTCCACCGAAGGCCCCAGTGGGGGTGTTCGCATGCGGTTCCCCCACCCAGGGCAGCGTTTCGTAGCCCCATAGGGAGCTCCACCGAAGGCCCCAGTGGGGGTGTCCACATGCGGTTCCCCCACCCAGGGCAGCGTTTCGTGGCCCCATAGGGAGCTCCACCGAAGGCCCCAGTGGGGTGTTCGCATGCGGTTCCCCCACCCAGGGCAGCGTTTCGTAGCCCCATAGGGAGCTCCACCGAAGGCCCCAGTGGGGGTGTTTCGCATGGCGTTTTCCCCCACCCAGGTCAGCGTTTTACGTGTCCCCATAGGGAGCTCCACCGAAGGCCCCAGTGGGGGTGTCGCATGCGTTCCCCCACCCAGGGCAGCGTTTCGTAGCCCCATAGGGAGCTCCACCGAAGGCCCCAGTGGGGGTGTTCGCATGCGGTTCCCCCACCCAGGGCAGCGTTCGTGGCCCCATAGGGAGCTCCACCGAAGGCCCCAGTGGGGGTGTTCGCATGCGGTTCCCTTACCCAGGGCAGCGTTTCGTGGCCCCATGGGGAGCTCCACCGAAAGCACCCGTGGCGCAGTTCGCATGCGCTTCCCCCACCCAGGGCAGCGTTTCGTGGCACCATAGGGAGCTCCACCGAAGGCCCCAGTGGCGCAGTTCGCATGCGGTTCCCCCACCCAGGGCAGCGTTTCGTAGCCCCATAGGGAGCTCCACCGAAGGCCCGCCCCGGTGGCGCAGTCCGCATGCGGTTCCCCCATCCAAGTCAGCGCTTCGTGGCCCCATATGGAGCCCCACCGAAAGCGGCACCCACAACGCGTTACCAACAATTGCTTATGGTTGGGTCTTTCGCCAGGATATTTTTTTTTTTTTTTTTTTTTTTTGTTTATCGGGGCCGTCTGGAGCTATCGAGCCTCCGTGGGGAGGCCCTCCGAGCGCTCTGGCGACTTTCTTCGGGCTGCCTTGTCGGAGCACAGGCGCTGCGCTCTCCTTGGGAGCTGTGTGGGGGCATCTCGGGGTTTCTCTTCGGCCTCCTGAGGGCCTCTCGGGGCCCTCTTGGGCCGTCTGGCGGCCTTCTGGGGTCCTCTTGGGGTCCTCTTGGGCCGTCCGTCGTGGGTCCCTCTTGGAGCCGTCTGGGGCCGACTTGGGCGCCTGTGGGGGGCCGTCTTTGGACCGTTTGGATGCCCTCTTGGGCCATCTGTGGCCGCTCTTGGGGCTGTCTTCACTGCATATTGGGCTGTGGTGGGCGCCACAGAAGCAGCCCTGGGGCCGTCGGGGGCTGTGTGGAAGCCTCACGGGGGCCTCCTGATCGTCTCGGGCCGATCTTTGGGGCCCTGTTGTCGTCGTGGACGCTTGGAAAACGAAAAGCAGAGGAGCTACGACAGTGTACACTTTCCCCTGGGTTTGGGGACGATTTTTGCTCGCGCGAGCTCTCTCGGGCGTCTTTGGGGAGCCCACTTGGAGCGTCTTGGGTGGCCTCTTGGGCCGTCTGGAAGCCATCTTGAGCGTCTTCGAACGCTCGCGGACCGTCTCTAGAGGCATCCTAGATGGGGTCGGAGTAGACGGGGTCGGAGGATCGCGCCACGTCGCTGATACATCGGCGATGCATCGGCGATGTATCGGCGATGTATCGGCGATGCACCAGCGACGTAGCGGCGACGTGGGCGATGAATCGGCGACGTCGGCGTGAAGCAAATCGGGCTCGGCATTGAGCCATATCGGCGATGCATCGGCGATGCAAAGTGATCCTCCGACCCCATCTACTCCGACCCCATCTAGGCGCCTTAGAGTCTCCCGGATCCTCCTCCTCCTGCTCCTCCTGCTCCTCCAACCTGACCTCCTCCTCCACCTCCTACCTCCTCCTCCCCCCTCCTCCCCCCCCTCCCCCTCCTCCTCCTCCTCCCCCCCTCTCCTCCTCCTCCTCCTCCTCCTCCTCCTCCTTCCTCCTCCCCTCCCTCTCCTCCGTCCTCCTCCTCCCCTCCTCCTCCTCCCCCCTCCTCCCCCCTCTCCTCCTCCTCCTCCCACCCTCCCCTCCTCCTCCTCCTCCTCCACCATCCTCCTCGTCCTCCTCCTCCTCCTCCTCCTCCTCCTCCTCCACCCTCCTCCTCCTCCTCCTCCTCCTCCTCCCCTCCTCCTCCTCCTCCTCCTCCTCCTCCTCCTCCACCTCCTCCTCCTCCTCCTCCTCCCTCCTCCTCCTCCTCCTCCTCCTCCTCCTCCCCTCCTCCTCCTCCTCCTCCTCCTCCTCCTCCTCCTCCTCCCTCCGTACCTCCTCCTCCTCCTCTCCTCCTCCTCCTCTTCCTCCTCCTCCTCCTCCTTCCTCCTCCTCCTCCTACCTCCTCCTCCTCCTCCATCCTCCTCCTCCTCCACCTCCTACCTCCTCCTCCTCCCTCCTCCTCCTCCTCCTCCTCCTCCTCCTCCTCCTCCTCCTCCTCCTCCTCCTCCTCCTCCTCCTCCTCCTCCTCCTCTCCTCCTCCTGCCTCCCCTACCTCCACCTCCTCCACCTCCTCCTCCTCCTCCCACCCCCCCTCCTCCTCCCCTCCTCCTCCTCCCTCCTCCTCCTCCTCCTCCTCCTCCTCCTCCTCCTCCTCCTCCTCCTCTCCTCCTCCTCCTCCTCCTTGGACGCCCCTCCCCCTCCCCCTGGACGCTCCTGGACCTTGGACCGTCCTGGGGCCGTCCGGGGCCCTCGAGCCTCCGTGGGGACGCCCCCCGAGGCCGTCAGGGGGCGCCCCGGGGCCGCCCGAGGCCGCCGCGGAGCGCCCCGCGGCCGCCCGAGAGGCCCCACCGGAGGGCACTACTGCCATCGGATCCGATTGGAATCGGTTTCTTTCCGGCACGCGCGTCCTCTGGCCACATGTTAATGCGGGGTGACGATTGATAAAAAAATGGGAGGGAACGATTAAACGAATAGTTTGTCTGCTATTTCTGCATAAATGTCTGACTGGAGGAGAACGATTTGAAAAAATAATTCTCCAGCCCGCGGCCGGTTTTTTCTAATCGTCATCCCGGGCGCCGCCGCGTGAACACGACCCCCGGTCATTTATTAATCGTCATCCTCCATTATAGATGGCGTCGGACTCCAGCTTTACTTCCCGCATCTCGCTCAGCAGCGCCAGCGCCCGCCGCCACTGCTGGCCCGTCTCGCACGCGCTGATCCCCACGCTGTAGCTGACTGGTGTGCACCCGTGGGGAGGGTCAGTGCCGTCGCAGTAAAGGAGGGCAGTGCCTGCGGGGCGGGCCTGCAAGACAGAAGGGGGCAGTTCCCCCGGTCGCATCGCCGATCGAATTTCAACGACCGACGACGACGACGGCCGCCTTCGACCGTCTTCGAAGGTCTTTCTGGTCGTACATACTTCAGATTTCGTAATAAAAGCGAGGAGGTCTGGACCCTCCAAAACAAGCCATTTCAGACCTCCCCCGTGGGAGAACCCTCCAAAACATCGTCCCCAGACCCCCCCAGGCCCTCCAAGATAGCCTGGAAGAGACCCCCCCCCCGAAATGAGACCCCCCTCCCTTTATCACGAAATCTGGAGTACCCGTAATTCCTCAAAGGAGGCCCCGCCCCACATGCACCGCACGCGCCCCTGCACTTCAACGAAGATCGTCACGCCACGGGGCCACGCGGCGAGCGGCGGCGGCGGCGGCGTCGTCTGGTCGCCGTCGTCGGGGGGGTCGTCGTCGTCTTCGTCGATGTCGTCGTCGTCGCCGCCGACGCCGCCGTCGTCGGCTTCGTCTCGTGGCCGACGCCGTTTTCGTCGTCGTCGCGGGGGTCGTCGTCGATGTCGATGTCGATGTCGATGTCGATGTCGATGTCGATGTCGATATCGTCGTCGTCGTCGTCGTCGTCGTCGTCGTCGTCGTCGTCGTCGTCGTCGTCGTCGTCGTCATCGTGGGGGTCGTCGTCGTCGTCGTCGTGATCGTCGGGGTCGTCGTCGTCGTCGGCGGCGGCGGGCGGCCGACGGGCGTTGGTACTGAGGTCCACCGCCGATCCTGGCAGGGGGGCAGCCCAAACAAGCCCCACAAGCGTCCCCAGAAATACCCTCCTCCTCCTCCTCCTCCTCCTCCTCCTCCTCCTCGTCCTCCTCCTCCTCCTCCTCCTCCTCGTCCTCGTCCTCCGCATCCTCGTCCTGTCCCCCCTTCTTTGCCAGCCTCCTCCTCCTTCTCCTTCTCACGCTGTGTCTCTCCTCAGGAGAGGATGTCCAGAGGAGGTGCTGAGGATTTCGAGAGCCTTCGTGGTCGAGTTTCTCTTCGGTTTCCGACTCTGGAGACCGTTGGCGGGCCCCGGGGGTGTATGAAACAAATCCATAGTAAAGCTTCGCTGTCTGGGAGGTACCGGACTCGTGTCGAACAGCCGCCGGGGATGCGAGTTACGGCACAGAGGCGGACGAAGGAGCAATACGAGGATAAGCGGGCAAGTATAGAGGGGCAAATATTTAGCGCAAGTGCGTGCCCGTGACGGGGCGCAAAAAATATCGGTAGCGCCCGGCGGCGCGCGAGGCACGATGCGCATATTTTCATATGCCGCAGGAGCTTGTCGTCGTCGTCGTCGTGGTCGTGGTCGTCGTTGCGGTCGTGGTCGCGGTCGTCGTCGTCGTCATGATGGTCGTTCTGGTCGTCGTCGGCGCGGTCGTCGTTGTCGTTGTCGTCGTCGCTGTGGTCCCTGAGGGAAGACGGAAACCGAAAGCTGCTGGGGTAGGTCGGTCGGTCGACCAGTCGTCATCGGCGTCGTCGTGGTCGTGGTCGCCATCGTCGTCGTTGTCGTCGTCGGCATGGTCGTCGTTGCCGTCGTCGTCGTCGTTGGTGGCGTCGTCGTCGTCTCGCCGTCGCGGTTGTCGTCGTCGCCATGATCGTCGCCGCATACATAAACAGCTCGGCGTCGTCGGTGGCGGCGATCGTCCGAAATCGGACCGCGGAGCTGCCCAAATGGAATACCAAAGTCCGTCTGACTACGCATGATCGCCGACGATGGATGTTGACGGGCGGGTCGACATCTGCTGAGCTAGGTCGGTCGGGCGACCAGTCGTTATCGTCGTCGTTATCACCATGGTCGTCGTCGTCCTCGTCGTCATCGTCGTCATAGTCGTCACCGTCACCGTCGCCGTCGCCGTCGTCGTCGTCGTCGTCGTCGCCTCCCTCGCCGTCGTCGCCGTCGTCGTCGTCATCGTCTCGCTGTCGCGGTCGTCGTCGTCGCTAGCGGGTGCGGACGGCAGACGGACAATGAGACCTGCTGGGGTGGATTGGCCTGGTCGGTCGGATTTCGGAAAATGGGTGCAGCGCCAGAACGAGGGCAGGCGGGGACGCGGGGAAGACCAATAGGTCACTGGGCTTCTAAGGGCTCCGATGCCAGTCCGAGGGGTGCTCCTGGCGGGTGCCGCAGGGGAGGCCGAGGGTTGGGGATATTTTTTGTGGGCGTCCGCGGGCAGGTGCGCTGGGCCTCCGAGCGCTGGCGCGGGCGGCTCGAAGTGAGACACGAAGGGTGTGAAACGGGCAGTGCGCACTCAATTCGCCAGCTGGTTGCACTCAGCGTACTCCTTCTCCTTCTGAAAGAAAAAGGCAGTTCCGCAGCTGACCACAATGACCTCCCGGCAGCGGTGCTGTGCGCGATTCGGTCCACGTGCTGCTGGTTCCAACGTGGCTCTGCTCCACGGAAATGACGAGGCCCGTCCCACCACTGCGCCAGCCAGCACGGGTACTTACTGTTCCCGTTGGCCCCCGACGTTGCACAAGCAGGTGCGTGCATTCTGGGTCGCGCGGTCGCGCAATAACAGGATGACGACGTTGAGGCTATCACTGAGACTGCGGACGTCGGTCGGGGTGCCCCACTGCATGTTGCCCCGTTGCCTCATGAATCCATGTAGTCTGCCGCGCAGTCGCGCGAGGCTGAGAATGCCATCTGGCAGCGGCAGAATGCGTTCTTCCCGTTCCCCTGCTCCGGCGCGCGCCTCTGATGCGGCGGCTCTGACGACGGCGGTGACGTCTGGTCGTTCCTCGCAGGCGAGGACGCTGTCGCAGCACTCGAGGCAGCGGAAGGGGCGCTCGGCCAGCACCGCGTCTGGGCCCCACAAGTCGCAGCGGAAATCCGCTGCGCTTCTGCATGGACGCAGAGGCGACGTTGCCGAGGAGCTGCCCAGGTGCCCATTGGAAATATATGTCCGCGGGCATGCTCCGCAGTCGAATCATGGCGGCGCCCTCTCCGGTCATGAACGTCGTCGACAGGATGCTTTCCAAGACGTGTCGCGCCGGGTTCCCGTCAGCAAATACCATTCGCGCGAGGACGCCGGCGACGCCGTAGAAGAGGCAGCCCCCGCGGCCCCCGAAGTCGATGCTGCAAAAATGTCGGTCGGCGGTGGCGAGGTTGTAGATATGGATGCGGCGCAATGTGCGTGCAAACTTGCGTCCACTGGGCGCGGAGTTCCGCGCGCCCCTTGGAAGGCAGACGCCGTCTCGCTGCGTGGCGCCAACAAGCAATATCGACATTCAGGCGCGCCTGGCCAGCAACCATCACGCCCGCGGGCATCGCAGGGGCCTGTCCGGGGTGGCGGGACTTGCGATGACAGCGTGGTGGGTCGCGCCGCGTGGGGCGTCTTTTCCCGCGGTGGACCGCGTGGCTCAGTCGAGCGGTGGGGAACGGCGGCGTCGCTCGTCGGTTGTTCGCAGGCGGCGTCGTCATGGGGCTGCGTGGGAGATGCCGCAATGTCGGTTGCGAGATCGAGACGGCGCGGAGGCGTTGTGAGGACTGCGTTGGCGCTCGGATCTCTGGGGCGCGCTGCTCCGCATTCGCCCCCTTCGCAGGGCCCCATCGTCCAGCGGGAACCTTCGGGGCCAGAGCGTGGGGGTCGGTGGCGCCTCAGAGTTTACGTCGATCAACGCGGCTCCGTTATCCGCGAGCGGGGCCTTCTCGGGTTCGTTGCGAGGTGGCTCGTGCTGTTTGGGTGTCGTCGTCGTTGTGGACTGGGCCTCCCCGCTGGCTCTCTGGCATGGGTGTCTGGGCCCCATCGGGTGACTGCGGCGTCTGTGGAGGCGCGTGGCTGGGCGCAGGGTCGCGAGGGCGTCGCAGCGGGGCCCCTGCCCAGACAACGTCGCTTGTGTCGGTGCCGGCTGGATACGACGCCGATGCGGACGGGGCGCCGTGGCCCGTCTGAGGGATGAGCGCCAGGATGTGATCCGAGGACCCCGCTCGGCTGAGCGCCGCGTACAAATGGCAGCGGGAGAATGCCCGCCCCGGGAGGTATAGGCCGACGTGCTGGAGCGTTTGACCCTCTGTCTTGTTTATCGTCATGCACCGCGCAAATTTGCCAGGAAATGATAGCCGGCGCACTACGAGCGGCTAGTCGGGGTTGCGCGGGGCCAGCGACACCTTCGGGATGTAGGCCCAGGTGCCCGCCATGGCGCCACACGCGAAGAGCACGTCCAGCACTCGCGGTTGGGTTGCGATGACGATGGCACGCGCGCCGTTCACAAGGCCAGCGTCGGCGTGCGAATTGCGCAAGAGCATGACGAGCGCCCCCGGCGCAACTTCGAGCGCGTGGGGCAGCATGCCTGAGGGGGAGTTCCAGGAATCGGTGGGCCACAGGTCTCTCTCGGATGGCGCGGCGGCGTCGACGTCGTCCACGTTGTAGAAGTTGGACAACTGGCCAACAGCGAACGCTCGTAGCATCGCCGAAGTCACTGTCAGCCGTGGCGTTCTTCGGTGCGGGCATGGCACGGTCGCAAAAGAATCTCCAATCGCGGGGTTCGGCGGTTGGCGCCGCGCACCGGGATGACCGGGCGCGGACGTCCTCGAAGACCTCCTCCGCTATGTCCTCGGAGACCCTTCCCCAAGCGCCCCGGCGACCAGTCGGGCGACGCGACGATGTTGTCTGGCAGGCGGATCGCCTGGTGTCGGGATGGGGGCTCGTCCGTCGCCGACCTCGAGCAGGCGCCGTTGCCACTGCGGATCGCCCCGGACTCGCGCGTCCTCTTTCAAGTGGTGCACTTGCACGGCCCAGCGCACCAGAGTGGACAATGGCGGAGAAAATGCTGGATGAGGTCTTCGGGGGAACTCGCGAGATCACCGGGGGCACCTGGCGGAAGTCGCCACCGAACAAAATCTCCCCTTCCGGAGGGGGCGTCGGTTTGCATGAGGTCTTGGAGGAAAGCGTTCGCGCACTCGAGGGCCTCGCGCGGGGCA